AAATACGAAGTTTTGGGCAGATCATTTTGACACACATTCTGTTTTCCATGATATTTTCAGTCAATTTCTCCAGCTTCCCACCACATACACATAAATCAGACACACACTTTCTTAATTATTGCAGGGAGTGGCATTATAAATCTCTGCTTTTCCCAAGATCTACAACCTCATAAAATTAGAATAATGTGCATCATCTCTCTTGCATAGCTTCTGGCATATCATTTTCACCCTCCTTCCAGCATAATTGAATACTCCGTGGGATATTTGTAGTAATAGTCATCAGTCACTCTAATGAAAGAAGTCTGGAAAAAATATGGCAGTTTAACTATCAGATGCCATTCCATAAAAATAAATGTTAATGTTTTCCAAGTACATATGATGTTCTTAATGTTATTCAACTTGGAATCTGTTGGTGAAAGCATTTGTATATTGAGCCATCAGGACTGGAGCTAAAACTATCTGGAGAAAATAGGAGTAATTTACAGAGAAATTTGTGACATTTCCCTATCACCAACAAACCCACATAAGGGACAGCATGGACAAGGGCTGCTCTCAGGTGAGTTACCTGTGCCCCTTTTTATTGCCTAATAAACCTACACTGTAACTCTATAAGCATAACCTCTGAATATCAGGTGGTATTTAATTACACAAGCAACCCCACTGATTGAAGTCATATTTATAACAGGGGTAAGAGTCTATTTCTCACAGACAAAATTTAGAAATCTGGAAGCTAACTTGCTTTCCTATTTTAGTTCCTGGTTACTAATTATTTTATTGATTTGCTTATTGCTTTCCCATAACAAATGCAGATGGCATTCTGTTTAAATTTCTATCTCAGAGCTGCTATCAGTTGAATTTAAGTTTCTATTTGAATACAAGCTACTATTTTTATAGAGTTGTTCCTATTACAAAAACCATAGAAAAAAGGCTGCTTACCAAATGTGGTAATAAGCACTGAAGATAAATCTTGGACATTGAGATAAACACAGTGTAATACAATACAATTTAAACTGACTGGAGATGCTACCGCTCAGAATTACTCTGAATTCAGCAGAGTAATTCAATCTTGAAGAAAACAACAAAGAAACAAAAGAAACTCTTTGCATAGTAGATCCTGACTTTTGTGAGGAACCTGGGAGAGTAAAGCACCACAACATACACAACTCTGAAATTTCCAAAACCCACGTCCAAGCCATGCTTTAGAAATACACTGCCAGCAAAAGCTGCTCCTTTGAAGAACTCAGCTTTGATTTTCACCAAAATCCTTCTTAGTCTAGAAGCTTCTCTTCTTACCTCCTACATTTAGTTTATCTACCACCATGTTCATCACCCAGTTGATTTGATCAGCAAATCACCAAGCTCAGTAGAGATGCAGTATTAAGGTAACAGGACACTGATTTTTCCAAGAGCTTCTCCATGACAAATATGGTATTTAATAAAATGATTCCATTGCCCAATCTGGAATTTTATGCTCCCTCTGAGCATGACATATCTTGCACCTATGAAGTCAATCAAATGCCAATGTTATTTTTGCTTTTATTACCCAGGGCCAGTAGAGCAGTTTCAGTAAAAATAATTTATACCAACTGTTTCCAGTTAATGGAAATTCAAAGTCTTCAGACAGTGTTTTTTATTTCTGGTGCTTGAATTCTCAAAGAAATGGTGAAGTATAATTGATACCATATGCTTTTTATTGTTTTCCACATGAAAGAATCACAATTTCCAGTGGATCATCGAATTCTGCTGTGGCACTGTGCCAAATCATCAAACACCAAGGTCACATGTGATGAAGGTACAGTTTTCAAAGCAGGAATAGCATGTATCATATCTTGGAATTGAAGGTTTATTTCAGTTTGTCTGAGTATTCCCAGACAAGAAATTTACTGGGGTTTTCTGCAGTCCACAAAACATCTCCTTATAAATTATGGGCACAAGCCCAAGAAAATGTGCAAATATTCATCACCAAACAACAGGATTACAAAACACTATCAGTTCAAAAAGTACATTAAAGCAGAGCCAAGCCAGTGTTTCAGACACTTCACAAATGTTAATAACCATCAAATCTGAAATTAACTGCATCTACCATATTTCAGGAATATCACAGAAAAATAGTCTTTGTCCCACAGTTGTGCCTGCAGAAGCATCGTGTTTGCTGATTGTTTCGTGCATTAATTTAATCTGCTTTACTTGTCTGCTTCAAAAAATCACAGCTAAAGGGCTATTTTTAGAAAATTCTGCAAATCTTTCTGCTTTGGGAAAAAAAACCCACTTTTCACTTTGCCTGCAAATCTACAGCAGGCTGAGTAACTGGATCTTTTTATCATTTTCAACTGATTTTCTGATACTACTTCCCATTTTTACTTCTGCTGTATCATTTCAAACTGAGAAATTCTGGAATTTCATGATATGTGTCTTACACAATGGAGAAATTAGACACACACACATCTAGGAACTGCAATTCCAGCAGCATGGGACAATCAAAAACCAAGGTGTGACACTACCTACAAAGTCATAAAGTGACTTTTAGCTTTGACAAGGCTTCAAAAAACAGGAGGCAGCTTCCTTTCTCTCCAAGTTTGTTGTTCACATCATAAAAGGAACAATATAATACAGGTAATGACCAAGCATCAGGAATAAATGTGGAGTTAGAAAGTCTGAACTGCTTTCAGGGATATTGCAGAGCCATTTGCCATCAGCACAGCAACTTCTCTTTTCTGTGTCATATACAAAACCTTTTCTCAAATAATGGACATATCACCAAAGGCTGAGGAACCAAAACTTCCATGTAACAATTCATGATGCCAGTAACACCAAACCAAGTTCAAGTGGCATATTTCATCCAATGGTAGGATTTTTGTAGAGAAACAGGAACCCAGGCAGATTTGATCTCTCTACTTCTCAGGCAGGAAATTTAATTTTTCGCCTACTGGAAAGGTTTCAGTTGCAAAAATTTTTGAAGCAACATAATGACAGTACAACCTAAATTGATGGTTTAAAAGAGAGGAAATACTAAATTTATGGCAGGGACTATGCTATAACAAAGGCCAAGATATTGGATTAGAGGCACAACAAACATCACCCCAGGGCTTGAATGACTCTGGGGACAATCTGAGAATCTGTCACCGTGGCTTCTCCAGGTCACAGATGACTTGATGGAAAAAGGAACCCTCACTAAAAACATGAGCAGGCAAAAAGCTCTGAGAAAGAGTCCCCTTAGTTCTTTCTATACAAAATGGTAATCTTGCTGTTTTAAAATTTTCCCTATTTTTTGTCTTTCTGCACATCCTCTTGTTCATATATAACTTAGCCATGAAGTTAATTTCTGAAAACATCTCAGGGAGTTTCTGGAATGTTCTGGCAGAATAGAGATAGCTCAGGATAGAACAAGGCCCCCAACATTTCCCACAACAAAATGAAGACCTACACACCTCAGAAACATTACTTTCTCCTTTCACATGATCATCAAGGCAGGAATGAGAATGTTTCATTTTTTCTTGAGGGACAAGAAAAACCTCCAGAAATTCTCATTCTGATGAAAGAATCAGATTTATTCACCTGTCATCTCCACAAAGCAGTATCTGTTGTAAAATGAGATGAGATGCAAAAATAGCAGTAGTATGCAGATGAGATGCAAATCAAATTTTTACCTATCAAATATGCACGAATATACATCGAGTGCTAATACCTACCTGCTAAGGTTTTACACTCAAGAGGACATTTTATATTTGTCGATTTTTTTAATTGGTTTTATCCTTGCAGCTGTAGTATTTTTCTTCTCCTCATCTATTTACTTTCCTTTTGTTGTTTTTAAATAATACATTCCTGGGTGTCTGCCTAAGGGAATTTGGATGTTCTCAAGGAACGGGGGATGCTTAGGTCTGTCTCAGCAAGGGGAAATAAGATGTGGTTTTGCTGGAAGTTGCTTTAGAGAAAATAAAAGGATTGGGGAGGAATCTGAAGTATTAAAACCCATGTAAGTCCAGCTCCCTGTTGTGAATTCAGCAGCAGTTTACAGCCAGTTTGGTTTGTGTCTTGCCCTCATTTTCTAAAAGAATTTGTATTTATGTTAAACACATACCAACTTCACCCTGTAAAAATGTTTAAATCTCTCATAAATGAGCTTCTGTGTAAATACTGTTGGATAAACAATACTTGAAGAAATTGAGACACTGTAACAAATAATTGGAGCTGATGGCTGCAGCCACGAAATGTTTTTGCCAGGGGCAAATAAATTAATAACCTTGCTGTTGCACTGTGCCATCTCTAATGCAAAATGCTTGTCTTTACTATTTATTTAGACACGTGCAATGAGACATGAAGCCATGGTTTCTGTAAAATCCCCTGGAGGAAGCTTATAGAGCCAGCACATGGGGTCTGGGGTTTGGTTCTGATGTTGTGCTCTTGTCTGTGTTTCCAGCTCTACATATATAAGATAAGAAGCAAAACAGTTCAATTCTCCAGCAGAAATTTTGCCACTTGGCTTCAGAGATAGCAAGGCATTAATTAATTTACTGTCACTCCCATACCCTGCCTCCTTAAAAAATTTCTTTGAGGGAGGCCCTAGCAGCAATATGTGCTGATGATGAGTGCACTCCACTCCTTCAGGTGTACTCTGAGGATTTACTAAGCTAAAGGCACTTTCAAGCCATAGGTGTACAGCCTTTCTTTCTATATATATTGTTAAATATGTCACACAGATTGTATTCCTTCTTATAGCACAGAACCCATCTGGAAATGCTTCCAGTTGTACACAGTTCCTATTTCTCTGTTGAATATATTCAACAGAATGGCCAGGACAAATGGGAGGAAGCACAAAATTTAAAAATAAACAAATGGAGATGGTTCTCAGCTTTGCACCACTTGTTCAACCCTGGCTACACAACTGAATTAACAACATTTTTGCCAGACATCTGAGGAATCTCTGCCTGTTCATTTACTCCTGTTTACAGTGGAATATTTAACAGGCTATCAGTTCTGTGGAAAGGGCAATACAATTTCACCTCCTTACTGCTGCACATCCACGTGGTCAGCTCTTTTCTTTGCACTCCTTTGCAGCCTGTAACAGCTCTGGACTTCAGGGCCAACAGCTTGAATGCAATTATCCAATCTCTCCAGTTACTTCACACTCTCCTGTGAGAATATTCTGAGCCATCTGCTGTCAGCACCAGTAGGCCTGCAGTCCTTGCAAGCATGTAAATTAGCTCAGGGTCAAAGAACACAAGAATCTCTTTTCCCAAATGTTGGTCACAATGTGGCCTTGTAAGTCACAGCTCTCACAATCCATGGCCACATCTCATCATGAGAGCCAGAAGCTGCATGGTTCTAAGATACCAGGTTTGCTACTTTAACTTCTTTTCCCCATGGATCAGTGCAGATAATGAGTGAATGAATGTACTGTCCATTTTTAAAAGGTGTGTGTTTCCCTGCTGAACTCTGCTTTAGTACTTAATTCACATGAACACAATGAGGCACAGGGAAGAGACAGCCCGTGTGAGCATGAAGGAATGATTCCCTGAGACTGTCACCACTGCTAAATGATGGAGCAAAGCTGCCACCAAAGCAAGTGAGACTTAAATCCCAGCTGGGAGCCCAGGAATTCCCCAAACTCCCTCATCCAAGAAAGAGATGATGAACTGGTTCCCCACTTCCCAGTTATGCCACACTGTGGGGAAGATAATCTTGACAGCTTTTGCATTAAACACTTCCAAGCTACAGACACATACAACTGCTTAGTAATCTCATCAAGGACCTAGAGCTGGGACTAGAGGTGGATTTTGGATTTATTTCTTTTTTTTTTCCTGAAAAAGGTAATATTTCATTGCCATAGTGGCTAATGAAAAAAACCCAGGTGCCAGAGCATGCCTTGTTCACTTCAGTAAGCAGAGTACCAGTTTGGGACTTTGGAACACTGCCCTGTGACAAGGGTCTTGCATTCTTCTCCAGAAACTCTCTGCTTAGCTTAGGGCAATGTAGATTGCACAAAAAAAAAAAAAAAATCAAAATGCCACAGTTCTCTCTGGAATAAGACAGGATTAGAAAATTACACTAGAATACCAACAGAGAAGATCAAATTCAATTTTGGCATCCAGAGCCAAACTCTGCAACACTAGCAGAGTTTTTGGCTCTCTTTCAGCTTATTTAGACAGTAGCACTGACTCTGCAATTACATTTTTCAGTATGGCAAAGTAGTTATTATCTCTCTCTCTTTTATTCACATTTGTCACAGCAACTTCCAGTCAGGCACAGAAAGTTTATACAAGATAAATGTGACTGAGCAAATCTGAAACTCAGCATCACTTTTTCTTCCCTTTCAAGACAGCAGATAAAGACAAAAAATGTTCCTGGAAGATTAACTTGATTAATAAAACCATCTGCAGGCTCAACGCTGAAAAAAAGCAAAACTCCTCCTTCCTTTTACTAGGAACTGTGTCAATATAGACTGATAAATGTCCCATTTTTCTAACAAAGTAACATGAAGGAAACAGCTGGATATACATTGTTATGTATGCAGAGAACCCAGTAAAAATCCCAGGTAATCTAGAAACATAATACTGTGTAAATGAGGAACTATGACTGATAAATACTGATGATACTGGAAAGCTGTAGGAGAAATATTTCAACACTGGCACTGTCCAAGCCAATTAGAAAATTCATCTGATTACACTAATCCCCAAAATAGAAAACCATATCAGGGATTTCCAGCTAATAGCTTTCCTACCTGAAACTGAAAAGGTAGAAAGAGCTCAAGGCCGGCAGACTGCACCACAGATTTCCATCCATGTACAGCACGGTCCAATGGGTTTTCTAAGTCAGGTGCTAAAAGCTGTTCAAGGAATGTTAATTCAGTTAATGTCTGAGTTCTGAATCATCTGAATACTCTTCAGAATCCTCTCACAGGTTTGCAAAGCACTGAACAGTCCTTATAGCATCTTGTAGCATTTCTCCAGCAAATGCTGCCTGGGACTGACAGCATCCATAAGGCTTGAAATACAGTGCCCTGGTAGAGGAGGTGGATATAAATCCTGTCCCTTTCAGTAAGAACCATGAGGGCCTCAAGCATGTCTGCTTCCTCTCCTTTAAATTTCTCCATGGAGACAGGCACTACTTATGCATATTATGTCCATATTCTGTTTTATGCTACAGATAAAATATTGCTGATGTGATCTTCAGGTAAGCAGAACAGCTACAACCAATGTCATAGCTAATATGACATGATTGAGAAGAAACATAAATATGCATTCAGGGCTTTTCTGTACTTTACCTGTTCTAGTTCACTTTGGTGAACTTCATTTATATATTGCATAAACTATACCAATATTTTTCAATCATGCATACTGTGGACTAAATCATAGCAAAAGATGTGGGGTTATAATAGGATAATGACAAGAGAGTACTGAAATCACGAACACCTGTAGACAGGCAACAAAAGAGTAATTTTAACCTGTTTTTTGGAGATCAGCATCTATGTTGTCACCATACATTTTTTCTTTTATCCCTGTTTTCCCTTGTCCCTCTATTCTTACACCACCAATTGTCAAGCAAAGCTTTTGGTCAGCACACACCAGTAACTACATTTCTGCATGTGGAATTCCTGCACACACATTTCCTTAGCAGCTCCTGACAGGCTGCCTGTGCATCAAGTATTTCATTTCACCTGTTCCACCTGCTGCCTACAAAATTACCAACAATTTTTAAAAGACCCGATTATTATTGCTCAAACCTCAACCTCCACCACACCCAGGAGAGTCTCCCTGATGTCCTTCATGGGAACAGGCTCTGGCCAACAGAGCATTTTGAAAATCCTCTCCTCAGCAACAGGAGGGAAGCACAACATATAAGCAGTCTGTTAGCCAGGTCTTTTCCAAATTAAGACCCCACCCAGCAAAAATGATAGAGACTGACCTCTGCCCCACGTGGAGATGATCACAGGAGTGAGGGCAGTGTGTCTAAATAAATTTTGATGCACCCTCCACAAAGACTGCACAAGGTGGTGCAGAGAGCTCAAGGGAGCCACAACAGCACTTTGTTTCCATATTCTACCACGAATATATTCTCTTTGGTTTGCAAACATTCAGGTCTTCTTTACCTTCACATTACTTGCTCTCCAATCACCAAGCAAAACAATTATTAAATCTGCAGATGAACTCGTATTATAAGAATTTAGGGTTATGACAGAAAGACAAACACTCTTGCTATTGCCCGTTTTTCTGCTAATTTTTCCCATTTTGGTTTTTTTTTCTGGCAAGAAAAATGGGATTCACACAAACAGTGGAAACCATCCTCCAAACAGCACACTGTTCCATTAGAAAAGCAAGGCTTCCTAAGTGGTGATAATGTACAACAGAGCACGGGAGTCACTGGTGTAAAGTGCTGCTGCAATGGAATTGCTTGGAAAACATTTCTCTCCCCTCTGGCAGGCTGCATTCGTGCTGTGAGCTGAACAACCAAGTTTGAATTGGGAATTCTGCCTGCAGGAAAGGCACGTATCACACAAAGGAATAAATAAAAGCTCCATTTTCTGTCCAAAACCAAATCTCATCGGGCAAACTTTCTCTCAACCTTTGCAAAGAGTGCAAGGGCTCACTGTGGGCAGCACTCAGTTATGTAAACAGGGATGTGCAGTGGCATTTTGGCTGCCCCAGGCCATGTCTCCTTGTCTCCATGAGGCTGACAAATGACCTCGTGCCCTTCTGGGCAAATGCAGGCCCAAGTGAGTTGTCCTGAGGCATCTTCCAGAGCACAGCAGGGATAAATGCTCAGGAAACCAAATCCCACCCACAGTGCAGGACTTGCCAGTATCAGGGCCTGCAGCATCAGGTCTGTTACAAGCAATTCATCTTCTTTGCTGGCTGGTTTTTGTTATGGAAACAATCTGACCAGATCAGGTGCAAAAAGATGAAGGAGGAAAACAAGAGAATATGGACTGAAGTGTAGAGTCCAGAATTACCCAGATAGGGATCCTGAGGCAAAAGAAATCCTCTCTCCTTCCCAGGCATCTGCTCCTGCTATTGTCACTGACATTTGCATTTACTTTCTCTCTCACCTTGCAGCGTGGAGCAGCATCTGAGTGCTGCCCAGTGCTAACAGGTGGTGATAATCCCCCAGATTTCCTTCCACATATTATAGGAAATGAAGTTTTCACTGCCTGGCCCACCCTGTTCATGGAAGAATGTGCAAGAGTAAGGAGGACAGCTGGGTGGAGAGGATCTGCTTCTGATTAGAGGGGAGGAATATTGTGCACTTGGCATGAAGGCTCCAAGACCAGAAATCATCCAATGCCAATGCTGGCATCTACATCTGAATTTTCATCTTACCGACTCCACAGCCACCCAATTCCAGCTTAGGGGCAGCTGCTGCTCTGCTCTCCCAACACATGTTCCATGTACAGCAACGCTCAGCCATTTTGGAAGCACTGTGCTCTTCCTGCACTTGGAAAAAATAATAGAATTTATCTCTTTGTTCTTTCTGAGCACAGAGAATAACATTAACGTTTTGAAAATATTAAAAGACTTACTTCCTGAGTAACTTTAGAATGATTTTCTAAGAACTCACCATGGCTGATAGTCAAAATAAATCAAATTGCAAACAATATTGTACAAAGGTCCTCAGTTAAACTGCCAGTTGCATCAGAGAAAACAGACATTACACGTCTATATGCCATAAATTCCTAAAAGTTTTCCATTGCTGCTTTGCAGTGGAAGCTCCACTAAACTCAGGAACTTAGACAGAGCCATAAATACAGCAGTGAGGTGCAATTAAACACCTCCCAGGGTAAGCCATGGGTTTTACACTCATTTTGCAGCAGTATAAAACAGTTACATGCAGCACAGGCGAGCAATGAATCAGCCTCTTCTGTGCTGCACTGGCACTCAGACAACAGGAGCTATCCCACAGTCAATGGAATCTCATTTCATTTCAGGAGAGGATAATGTTTTGTCCCCCCTCCAAGGAAATCCCAGAGGGATTTATGTTCCAGAATGGACTCCAAAGCAAACACCCAAAGAGATGATGCACTGAATTACCTTCAAACCTGAAAACCACAGCAGTTGATAGTGCACAGCCCTTTCCCAGTTTAAGGTCTGAACAGTGGGATTGCTAAGTCAGGCCAAGAGCTCTGCTGCTCCAAGGATCAGTGCTGGTTTATCTACACAATACTGAG